ATGAACTGAACTCCGTCCTTTGGAAACTGCCAGCGCAGCGGCGGCACTCGGCCATTCTAGCTGAGTTTGTGCTGACGAAAGATTTATTTTACTTTATTTGTGAATGAAGGGAACAGGCTTAAATGGGAATATAAAGGTATTATGAGTCAAGTACTTTTTAAAAGAAATATGTATTTGTAAAAAAAAATCGTATTTTCATTGAAATATATTTCTTTCACCTTTTATCTTTAGAATAGTAATAGAAGACTAGTAGAAACAGGAGGCAGCAAGTGCTTTGTGCATGTCAATGAGGCTGTTAAGGACAGGCACTAAAACTAGATTGGTTTATATTAGTTGAGATGAAGCTCTGACTGGTGCTGGCAGCTGAATGGGGTAAGTCAAATCACCTTCTAAAAACTGTCCTTTTGACATAGATGAACTGGAACTTGCCATGCAGTTATGCAGGGGCATTTTTAGAATTTGTAGAACTAAACTTTTTACCAACTTTTTGGAGTATTTTGTCAATCCCAGAGATGTGTGTGATGCAGCCAGTTCTCCTAGCCTTTTATTTCTAGTAGAGATAGTTCTCATAATACTGATAGACACAGACAAGGTGCATGATGTCTTCATGGATGTGCCTTTGTTGTTGTCATCAAGCTATTTATATGTGAAGTTATAAGAACCTCCAACAATTTATAGTAATAAAGTACTATACTCCTTGATCTTTAGATCCTGTTGTTGTGGAAGTCATTAAAACACTGTAATGAAGGATCAAGTGTGTTGAGCTGCACAGGGTAGATCCTGCCTGCCTTAGGTACTGCAAGGTAATTAGACGACGCTGGTGGTGGCTGGTTTGGCAACCAGTGAGTGTTGCAGCTCCCGTTAACACTGGAGCTCACTCCTCCCTCGCCTGCTGGGAACAGGAGCAGCCCCGCGGGGTGCCAGCCCCGCTGCTGGTCGTGAAACGCGGAGCTCCGAGAGCCACGTGCTGAAAGGGGCCCCTTGGAGGGATGCGGACAAGTCCTGCCCCTGCCTTCCTCCTGTTCCAGGAGGTTGATGCCTTTCGGGAAGGAGAACAGAGCCAGGGAAGAAGCGTCCCGGGGAAGGGGGCGCCCGGAGCGGAGCGCCCCGGGGCAGGGGCCACGTGTGCTGTTACTGGGGACAGGGGGACAGGGCGGCCGGACTCCTCACAGGAGGAATGAAGCTTCCCAGGTTTTGCCTAAACTGTTGCTATTGTAACATCATCTCCTGGGAGAACAAAGCAAGTTGTCTTAAGGAAAAGCACTTCTGCAGTGGAAATAATTTGGGAGGTAGAACATTTATGTTATGATTATTTACAATATAGTTAAGAAAATTTAACCCAGGAGGAGGGTCAGATAAAGCTCTCTCCCCAACCCTGGCTAATTCGGGCCCTTTTAACAGCAGGTATATACTGGAAATTAGCGTTCAGCTCTTCCCCAACACTCCCTTTCCCTATTAGATGAACCAAAATAATTTGTCACATTTTGCCACCTGCTAAAGAGCAATGCTATACTGAGAAGTCTGCATTTTCTTTAAAAACTGACCCATAAAACGCCCTCGCAGAACAGTGTGAACCTGCCTCCTTAAATCAAAACAATTCCTTGAACACAGACATCCACCATGGGCGGAGAGTTAAACTGAACCTGGGGGTGGTGATCGGCTCCGGAATCAAACAGCACATTTGGGTCTTTATTCTAACAAATGACATAACCTAAAACGTACTAGTGGTGAAGGCAAGTTAAAAACATGGACCACACAAATAGTAAAATGCAAGAAAGTGACATTGTTTCCATGGTAATTACAAATTGTAAGGAAAATAAATGTGAAACTGCAGCATTACAGGAAAGTTGTTAATACAGATTAAATAATGCAGTTATCCTTGCATGAATTAAAAATCAAGAACAAGTACATTTAAAAAAGTGACAATTGCTTTGAATGTCAACTCAACATGGTGGGTTTCCAGCACAAATATATCCAGAATTCTTCGTAACAAATAATTTCAATACATAAATCAATAATTGCAGTAAAGTGAATACAGTGACTGGAACAGCAGCTCCTTAAAAGGAAAAGAAAATGCATTCCCTTTGCCACAAATTAAAGCAATATTTTGGAAGACCAGTAAAACAGTTTGGTTAAGAAACAATCCTA